AAAGCCATTACTAGGGCCAGGATCCGCAGGGACTGAAACTGGGGCTGCACCAATGACAAAGCTCCCTGCACCGCTACTTTGTGCAGCGACAACCGAAGTTGCACCTGCTGCAGGTCCCGCCTGCATCCTAATCACACTTAGGGATGAAGAAGAGAAAATAGGGGCATTGCTTGTGTTCAAGGCAGCAGAGCTTGGTGCATTATGAAGAAGTGGGGGGTTAAGGTTAGCATGGTGCAGATCTGCAATTTTCTGTAGCTGGTCGCTGTGAGCCTTCTCCATCACACTCAGGGATGAAGAAGAGAAAAGAGGGGCATTGCTTGTGTTCAAGGCAGCAGAGCTTGGTGCATTATGAAGAAGTGGGGAGCTAAGGTTAGCATGGTGCAGATCTGCAGTTTTTTGTAGCTGGTCACTGTGAGCCTTCTACATCCGGACTACTGTATCCCGCAGATCTTTTATCTGATCAAACAGTTGGGACACCAAGTTAGGGAGAGGGTCCATCATATGGCAGTCAATTGGTGCTCGCTTGTATGTGACCAGATGTGGCTTTACTTGGTCATCAGGTAAGGAAGGAACAGTTTTGAACACATCCTCATGGCCCTGTATCATGGCCTTCTTCCTCTCCTTTGATGCCTCTTCCGCGGACTTCACCTCCTTCAGTGCATTCTCATAGACTCACTGAAGCTTTTACCGCTGCTGCGCCCATGTTAGTCCTATCAGAACTTTCAACATGCAAATCAGAAAAGGTTTGGGGAAGTCTCTCAATGTAAGTACTCTCTGCCTTTTTTTTCAGACGAACACACCGCTTCCCGTTTCTGATGGCCTCAAGAGAAACACTCTGTGTTCTCTCTCTCCTTACTCTCTCTTTCGTCTGCGATCGTGTCGACGGAGTCATTTGTCAACCCAATGAAAGAAACAACTTAAAAGCAAACAGTAGAGAAGGTAGAACTCCTAGCCGGAGCAGCAATTCATTTGGACTGGAGAGCAGACAACGAAAAAAATAAAATAACTCAGGGAGATCTGATACAGCAACCGAGTACGAGATCCCGTCCTGCCTAGTCTGACTCAGCTATGTGGAAGTATGAGATCCCCTCCTGCCTAGTCTGACTCAGCTCTGTGGAAGTACGAGATCCCCTCCTGCCTAGCCTGACTCAGCTCTGTAGAAGCACACCAATCAGATGTGAAGTGTAGCTGCACGACACAAGAGAGAATTGAGTGGGTGCGAGTCAAGCGGTGGACTGTGTGGTAAAGTCTGCAAAACATTTCAGTTCGAACTCCACCTCAAGGACAGTAAGGACTCCATGGTCCTCTGTTTTGGCGCTGCGCGAGGCCCAGCAGGTTTTTTTTTTTTTTTTTTTTTCTTAGCATCCATGTTATGCCCGTTCTGTTCCGCTTGGCAGGTACACCCATGAAGTTCTTTTTTTTTTTTTTTTTTTTACAAGAAAACTTCCATGAACTTTGGAACCCTGAATTGTTGAAATACAGACGTGAGTTTGAACTCTGCTGAATGTAAAATGAGTAAAATACTATAACGGACGGATGCACCTACCCTACGCGACTTCCCTGCACTACCCTTGGCGACAGGATGCACCTTCCCTACGCAACGTACCTGCACTACCCTACGTGGCGTACCGTATGCGATCGAGCTGCATTACCAGACATACTTGCCCTACTTGACCTACCTGCCCTACTGGACGTGCCTGCCTTGCATCACCTACCGTACGCGCCCTACCTGCCACTAGCTCTCTCTCTCTCTCTCTCTCTCTCTCTCTCTCTCTCTCTCTCTCTCTCTCTCTCTCTCTCTCTGTGTGTCTCTGTGTG